GCTGTGTGCTGTGTGAGGGTGCTGTTTGTGTGATGTGTGTGTGTGTAAGGGTGCTATTTGTGTGCTGTGTGTGGGTGTCGTGTGTTTGTGACGGTGCTGTTAGTGTGCTGTGTGTGAGGGTGCTGTTTGTGTGTGAGTGTGCTGCTTGTGTGCTGTGTGAGTGAGGGTACTGTTAGTGTGCTTTGTGTGAGGGTGTTGTGTTTATAAGGGGGCTGTGTGTGTGTATGTGTGTTTGTGAGGGTGCTGTGTGTGTGCTGTATGTGTGCTGTGTGTGTGTAGGTGCTGTGTGTGTGTGTAAGTGCTGTTTGTGTGCTGTGTGTGTGAGGGTGCTGTATGTGTGAGAGTGCTGTGTGTGTGCTGTATGTTTGGAGGGATTGTGGGGGTTGAGGTGGGGGCATATTAGTAAATATCTCGCCTCCCTTCTTACCTTATGTAGGGAGGGGGGATCCTTGCTGCCATGTGCCATCCCTGGTGATCCAGTGGAGAGTGAACTCTCGCGGCAACGCTCAGATCTCGCAAGTGGAACCCGGCGGAGCTGCTGGCTAGCTGCCTCCCTCCATGCTGCAGTGGGCCGGTGAGGGAGACCTTTGGCCCACGGAGACTTAGAGCAGAGCCGGCGCTCTGATAGAACCGGCTCTGCATGAGCCTACAGGGGAGATCCTGAGATCTCCCCTGCCGGTCGCAATCCATAGGCGTGCCTATAGTATCATGTATTTTGCTTTTCTGTTGCTTCAGTTTTATTAGGTTCATCATTTCCTGAACTGGTTAGCTATATCAGAAGTCCAAAGTGTCTTTCTACTTAATTATTGGTAGGTGGTTAAAGCATTGCTTATTTCTTGGTATTAGTGGTATATATAAAGTGCTGCATTCTTATCTTGGTAGTTGATTTCGTCCTGTTTCCACATAGGTTCTGACTCTCACCCATAAGGGTGGGTTTCTATGCAAGGGTTTCCGTTTCTATGGCTAACACTATAGGTCTTTTCTTGCCGATTGACTTATTAGTCAGTGGCTATCATTTTTAAACTTTTGTCGACATACATGTTAGTTGGTTGTGTATATTAGATCTTTTTTGTCCATAGGTCCTGTCCCAGGTATTTGTTTACTCACTGCTTCATTAGCCTTCATGTAGGTTCTTATGCTATTCCACCCAAGCCAGCAAGAGCTGCCGCTCTTGGGGCTAACATTGACACGCACATGCTCACTACAGACAAGCTCACTGCCACACACACGTACAAGCTCACTCAAGAGCAGGCACACACACACACACAAGCTCACTCAGGAGCAGACACACACACAAGCACTAGCAGCCACACACAAGCTCACTCACAAGCAGGCATACACACACACTCACTCACTAGCAGCCACACACATACAAGCTCACTCACTAGCAGGCACACACATTCAAGCTCACTCGCTAGCAGAAACACACATACAAGCTCAATCACTAGCAGCGACACACACACACATACACAAATTCCCTTACTAGCAGCCACACACTCAAACAAGCTCCCTCACTAGCAGGCAGACACACACAAGCTCACTCACTAGCAGCCACACACATACAAGCTCACTCACTAGCAGCGACACACACACAAGCTCACTCACTAGCAGGCACACACATTCAAGCTCACTCGCTAGCAGAAACACACATACAAGCTCAATCACTAGCAGCGACACACACACACACATACACAAATTCCCTTACTAGCAGCCACTCAAACAAGCTCCCTCACTAGCAGGCAGACACACACAAGCTCACTCACTAGCAGCCACACACATACAAGCTCACTCACTAGCAGTGACACACACACACACACACAGGTTCCCTTACTAGCAGCCACACACACAAATCACTCACTAGCAGCCACACACACACACACACGTTCACTCAGTAGCAGCCACACACACATCTCATTCACTAGCAGCCACACACACACAACTCACTGACTAGCAGCCACCCACAAACACACACACTAGTTCACTCACTATTAGGCACAGACACACACGCACAAACAAACACCTCACTAGCAGACACAAACACACACACACACACAACTCACTGACTAGCAGATACACACACACACACACACACATATTGACTCACTAGCAGCCACACACACACACACAGGCGCACACACACACACACACAGACATGGCTGAAGCTTACCTGGCACTGGTGGGTGAAATTGCCATTGTGTGACCTCTTCCTCCCAGAGAGGTCAGCAACGTGTGTGTGGAGGAGGAGCTTGTATGATGGCGGCAGAGCTTTCGTTCAGGAGGCGAGGCTTGCATTTAGAGGCGGGACATGCGGCCTCTGAATGCAAGCCCCGCATTCAGAGGCGGGACATGCGGCCGAAATTTAGATAAATAGTGCAGGGAGATTTAAAGGTCCCCCTCAGCCTAATTGCGGCTAAACAAGAACCCAGCTCCTCTATCTTTAGTCCCCTTTGGACTGACACCGGCTGGCAGAGTCCAAGAGGAAAATAATTTAAATTACACATGCCTCATGATTTGTGCTGTCTGCCTGGCCCCAGGTGCGGGGGCCCACCGGGAAGTTTCCCGGTACCCCAGTGGACCAGTTAGGCTCTGCGCACCTGTCACGCCCAACCTTATTGTTTATCAATTATCTATCACCTAAGGCATTCTCCCTGGCATGACGCTAGAGGGTATTTACATCTGCTTGCCAAGTCATAGTTAAAGCCTCTCTCGCTACTTGGCACCTAGCTAGGTTTCACCAAATTCCTCCTGGTAATATTATTTCGACACTTGGCATTAGCTACTGCCAGTCCACCTTTTTTGCTTCACCCATCATTAACACTGTTACACGTTGTCTATTCTTTCTACCTAGAATGCCAAACGAGTCCATTCAAAATGACAACCTATCTTTACCTAGTACCCCGGCTAGGAACGATTCCCCCTCCAGGCAAGGAGATTCAGCAAGTCCTAGTTCATTAAGATGGACTATCCCGAAGTTCACAGCCAAATTAAAGAGGAAAAATATAGTCTACCCAGCCACGGCTAGGAAGGCTGAATTGTTTAGACTGTTAAGGTCTCAGACAGACTCTAAAACCTCTGGTCCCAGTCATGAAGGGATTGTTCAACCCAGTTTGGCCGACCAGCACTCCTTAATTACCAATTTGACCTCCTCTATTGCTAATAACCAGCACCATTGCTACTAGGCTTGGGGTATTGGAAGCTGCTATGATTTCTGGTACTTCCTCTTCTACTGCTGTTCCTCCTGTTATCCCCATTGCGAGTGTTGGAGTACTGGGTAATGCTCTTATGGTTGCTAACCAGCACCATAATCACGCCAGCCCATGTAGTTCCTTTGACGCTGAGAAAGGACATCTTGGCCCATAGCGTCACAGGATGTCATTGACAACAAGTCATACTCAATTGGAGACTTGTCGGTTGTAATGAAGACACGAGAAACTAGGCTTAACAAAAAACTATCCCAGAGTTTATATTGGCTTTTGGGTTGTTTAAGGATGTAATATGTTCCATTTTCCCCCAAAGATGTGAAGCGTTCGAATTGTACTTGCACAAGCTGGTCGACCTTGGGCATAAGTACGGGGGAATTGTGTTTTTTTGACTATAACAAGTAATTTTATGCAAAAGCAGCTGTTGCACTTGCTCAGTTCAGCATTAAAACTGATTGGAGTTCTCTTGATATGGAACTATTTTGTAAGCATTTTGCCAGTTTAAAAGTTCCAGCTTGTGCAGTTTGCTCGTCATCCACTCACGCAACAAATCTGTGCCCCAACGAAGCTAGTCTCCCATCCACCAGCCACGTCTCCGTACCCCAGTCTGTCATTGTCGTTTTGGGCAAATCTCAGATTTGCAACAACTTTAACGCCGGCGTCTACGGGTACAGCGCCTGCAGACTGCTGCATGTTTGCTCACTGTGTTTCTGGACACTTGCAAAAACCATGTGCCCCGATAGATTGTTCCCTAGGCAATGACTGTCACCAATTAACATCACCAATTTGCAGCACTGTTTGTCACAGCACCCTTCACCTCACCTAATAAAATTTCTCACCGATGGGTTCACTCACGGGTTCTAAACAGGTTTAGTCACAATCCCCTCAGGGACACTCAAATGTGCTAATCTCCAATCTGCCTTGCGTAACCCACAAACCGTGTCGTTACTAATCTCCAATAGAACTTGAGCTAGGCTTCATGATTGGCTCTTTCATTCTGCCACCTTTTTCTAGCTGGAGAACCAGCCCACTTGGCATCGCTATTACAAAGTTTTCTAATAAACTACATTTAATAATCAATTTTTTTGGCTCCTCATTCCTCCACCACACCTAGTCTAAACTCACTAATCCCTTTTGAGGATTTTCCTGTTCAGTATGCTAAAGTGGACGATGCTATTGCTACCATCATCAATGCTGGCGGGGAGCATGGTTATGTAAAACAGACATAGCTAATGCATTCAAGCTCTTACAAATCCATCCCTCTCTGTGGCATCTGCATGGGATTAAGTGGGAAGACCAATACTATTTTGCTACTAAGCTCACTTTCTGGGCCAAAAGTAGCCCTATGTTATTCGTCATCTTCACGGAAGCCTTGTGCTGGCTCCTACCTAACTACTGCAGATGCCCCAGAGTAATTCATTAGTGTTGGTACTTGCAAACAGTTGCAATTGCTCTTAGGGACCTTGAATTTTGCCATGAGAATAATTCCCCAAGGCAGATCCTTTAACTCTCATCTATTAAGCATGCTGCCTGCCTGTTTTACCTGACGATGATAGCGTTATTGACATAGACTCGCCTGCAAAAGCTGCCATTTCGATGTGGCAATTATTATGTTCATCCCGCCCATCTCAAAATCCCCTGTCATTTGGACAGATGTAGCCAGTACTGCAGGATATGCAACAATCTTTGGTAATGAGTGGGCCCCCTGGCCCCTTGAAACGAACCAATTACATAGTTTCGCCGACTTGTCGGCTTCGTTTGAGATTTTCCAAGTGGTAGTTGCAGGAGAGGTCAAGCTGTCAGGTGTTATCTCGATAACCAGGCAGCTTGTCACATTCTCAACAAGGGTCGCTCCCAATCTTTGATCATTATGAAACTGGTGAGGAGGCTGACCTGGCTAGCAGCTACTCATAAGTTTTTTAATTCTTGCACGCATGTTCCCGGTGTCCAAAATGCGGCTGCTGATGCATTATCCTGCTTCCAATTTTAGGAGTTTTTCTGGCATCACCCCACAGCAAACAGACAAGTGACCAGGCCTCCTCTTTTCGAAGAACTAATCCTGAATTAGAGACTCTCCGAGCGCACAGTAAAAGTTTTTCCCAAATGGGCTTGTCAGATAACACCAGGAAAACGTATGACAACGTAAGGGGTGTCCCTTATATAGGGGAGTGAATTAATTTAAGCCCCTCCCCCAAATACAGGCTGAATGGCCTTAATACTTGTGTAAGGGGCAAATAGCCGTATATGGAGTAAGGATCCAGCATAAGCGTAGGATAGTATAAAGGGAGCAAGTCGGTTGTGGTGTGCCGAGACCGACGATACGGTAGGCCTGTAAATAAAGAGGGCAAAAATGAATAATCAAAGATTTAATACAGTCAACAAACATATACAAATTAACCAGACATTTCCTTAAATGCATTACAGGATTTTGAAAGTAAGAATCTAGGACCGAAAGTGGACACCATTTGTTGTGGGTAGGATAGTATGTTATCTCTACTGTTGGTGCGTGTTGACTCGTTTCGGAATGTGATAGAGCCAATAGGTAATGATATATGCGTTTACGTATGTGGGATCGTTGAAGACAATGATCTGTCTGAGTGGTGGTGATGGTAGTGGATTCTCTCGTCTGAGAAAGGCATAGCAGGCAATGTGCATGGCTGGTAATGGCCGACTTGGTAGTATAATTGAATGGTTGTAGATCTAATAGGTCCGATAAGGATGAAAAGTTGGATGGCTATTGGTAATCTCTGAGAGGAACGTGGGGGAATGGATTCCTGAAAACCTAAAAGTATATTCTTGTCTGGTATGATAGCATGAAGTTATGCTAGTTTTGGCCATAGGTTATCCTGTGTTGTTGAATGCCTGTAAAATATATAATTAATGGTGTGTGAGATAGTTTAAGGTGGCAAAAAGAAGCAAAACCTAGGAGAAATGTTATGGCACAGGTTGAGCTATGTCATGTTCCTATGAGATTCTTTAAGCCAGGTGAAAAGCTGTGTTATGCGTTCTACAAGTATGGGACGAAAGTGCTAGGTGGGATACTGCATGCTATGCTGTATGAGTATGTCTAATCCATGATTTTGCCTCTGGAACGAAAGAGTAGCCGTGACTGTATGGGCGGCTGTAGGAAGCGTATGATGAACATGTCTGGAATATAAATGAGACAATTGTCGGCAGAGATGTATACCCCCGCCTGGTACATGAAAGTAAAAGAAATGTGATAAGCGGCCAACCAAGTGAGTTCCCCAGAAATATCATGACCTTATGGATGATGAGTGGTGTTTGTTGATGATATGACATGTGCTTAGTTGTCTGAGTAACAACGGATTGATGACCCTGACCATGATTTACCCCATGCCACAGCAGCTGCTACAATGGGGTAGATCCCCCAAAGGGGCTGAGGTGGTGGAAAAATTTCCAAACCTGGATGCCATGGCCAACAGCTCCAAAGCAATCGTTCCCGGTAGATCACTGCCAAACCCGTGGTAGACCCGTGGTACACTTTCGTCCCATACTTGTAGACCATCTGGTTGGAGAAGTGTCAGACAATCCTGGAAGGAACATGATTTTACCATGCCAAGTGGTTAAGAAATTCCCCCCCATGTGCAGGTCTGCTGTTGCTGGGGTGTCTAGGGACTTCCAACACGTCATGTTGGAAGTGTGGGAAAAAAAGGGGAAAGTACTCTGGATGTGAAAGCGTGGTCTTGTGGTATGATTGGCACGGCAAAATTAAGGAACCTGGTAGGGATTGTAGTTCCTTGCAGTTGTAAGTACTAAGCAGGAGGTAGTGATTGATGTAGTTGAGAATGTTCCCTATTTGTCTTGTGGTAACTTGTGTGAATGGATGCCGACTCAAGTCGTATGCCCGGTAATGTGATGATAGTGTCTGGGCCTTCTGTTTCAAGTGGTCAACCAGACTAAGCTGCCGTGAGGCTTTTAATGAAAAATATGTTATCTTTGATCAACAAGAAGTCTTCTAGATAGTGTATGACTGTAAGGCCTCTGGATATGTTATCATAACCAGCACAGAGTATCTGCGAATATCGATAGTAGGCTAATCTGTAGCCCAAAAGTTGAGCGGGGAAAGGATTGCCCATTTTATGCCATGTAAGTGCCAGTGTGTAGGGTAGATGGTAGCCGTTTACTGCGTTGATGATATTGGTCTTACTTAACCAAGCTTCAACCCATGCTTGAGTGATAGCTGTAAAGGTAGATCAATGGTGTTGTATAGTAAGGAAACTCCTCGGAGGGTATGAGGGAGTTGAGACTTGGGTAGCAGAGGTGTGTGGTGCCAATAAGTCTATGGTTAGTCTTTGTTTAAGGGAAGATTTCCTTGTGACAATACCAATGTGTTTGTGTTTGGTGCCATGCTGTAAATGGTGGAGATTGGAAAACCCAAGTAAAGACCCCTCTGCAAATCTTGAGTGTGTTTACAGCCATTGGTTCTGTTGTGCTGACTGTAAGTGAGGGCATGCTATATTCCTTGAAGGTGTATTTGTGATACCTGTATGGGAGCCCTTTGAAGCTCCAGAGCTTTAGTAATCTACTACAAGTCTGGAAGGGTGATGAGTCAGTAGTGTTGAAAATGCATTGGTGTGTACAGATGGTGAGTACGTTATTTGTACTTGTATTGGGACACATGGTTTGTCATGTGCCCTGAACCATTTGAACATATATGCAATTTGAACATATATGCAATGCAACTACTCATATTAATTGTCTCTGGTAGTTCAGAGGTGCTGGTACCTGGAGCCTGAGAGTGCTCGTCCATTTGTTTGGGACAAAATCCCTTCTGTATGGGTACCTGCACAAATAAACATCTCTACATATTCCAAATGCCAACCCAACCAAGGGATGGTCAGTTTCCGATTTACCTGGATCTGACCATCATACATATATATGCCTTGTTTCCCCAATGTGCTGGGATCATACGTGCAGGGTTAACGTCTTGTGTGTCATAAGAATTGATTGTACCAGGTAACCGAGTTTTGGTTGGTGCTGGTTGTACAGTAGCGTGAGGCCCAGCCTTGTGAGGGCTGTGGTGACCGACTCGAGATTGCCAGTCTGTCATAAATTTTTTGGCACATGAGTTTATGAGTGAGGCTAGCATGGCCTGGGTGTCACCAGAATTGGTGTTGCTGGGCCTTCCTCTGCCTCCGTGTTGTCCGTTGATGTATGGAGGAATTTGAATAACTCTGCTTTAATAATGTGTGAGATCGTCCAGGATCTGATTGCTGCTGGACTAGCAACATCTCCTCTGTTTGAAAGTGTATCAGCAGTTCTAGCCGGGGTGCTAGGAAGAGGTGATTCTTCACCATCTTTTTGAAAAATACATAAATAACAATAAAGATTGCAATTATTATTTGTACCCAGGGGTCTTGTACTGGCTTGCTAGCTAAGCTGTAAGGCAAAACGATTAGGCTTGGAGTTTTTTGGTGACTGCTAGTTGCTAAGTGGCTTGAGAGGCTCTATCTAGGCTTGGCGCGAGGGGATTTTGTGTGGCCACCGAACGTTGTGGCGGGGCGTTGGCCTCTCGGTGACAGTAACCAGAAAATAGGAAGGGGAGTGACAGGTGAGGCCCTCTCTATGATACAAAGCGAGGCGGCTAGCTCACGAGTGGCCCGAGGGGTGTATGCCTCCGAGTGTGAGGCAGGGTGTTGGCCTTGCGGGACCACTTGTTACGCTACTTGGGTGATTTGGATTGGAACTCAACTGCAGCTTGTAAACCTCCCCAATTACATTAGTGAAGATACGGAGAAACTTTAAAGTATCAATACTGTAGCTTTAAGAAAAGAGAATCACTGGTGACTTGATTCAACCGAAGTTTTAATACGTTTTTTACCATACAATCAACATTTCTGACCCCTACTGGTCAACAGCAAAACTGTCTTCACATGTCATATGCAATTTACCAGCCAATATAAATTACACATAAGATTGTTTTAAAAATAAACCATAAATTAAACTCCAGCATGGGCTCAACTTCAGGTTTAATTTACATTTCACATCAAGACCAACAGTGGTTCTATCAACACTGCCACCTACAGGTCTGTCAAGTACATTGACAATTTTCATGGGGTTTTACAAACACCAAAACACTGACACCTATAGGTCAACAGACAAACAACATTTCACATATTGTACATGTGTTTATGCGTTCACATATACATATTTATGTGTGTGTGCATGTATAAAGTGTACCATCCTGAGCACTGTCTGCTTGTTTGTTTTTCTTTTCCCTCTCTCCCCCCTCACTCTGCTCTTCAACAAGATATTTATGACCCTCTGCTAAGATGGTGTCTATTTTCTAACAAACCTGTGTCTTATCTACACTCATGTCGCTTTAACCCCTGTATCACAACTCAACTTTGAATTCTATGTGTCGTTTTGCTCAGAAATGCTTCAGACTTGAGAAAGGGAGGTTCTCCCGAAAGCTTGTCATTATAAAATTCTGTTAGTCCAATAAATAAGGTATTACAAGATAAGAATTGTATCTGTTTTTTACATATATATATACATAATTACTACTACATTTGGAATTCAAAGTTGCCATTATGTGCATTCCATCTATAATCCAGAAAACATGGTCTTGGACATGGTTGGACACACAGAATGAAAAAAGTAGCATTATAAGGAGGTAGATATCAAGTCTAAAATGTAAATACTACTAATAGAAATCTAACATAGCGATAAGCCAATCCTACTTATCCCCTCTAGATGGCAGTAAATTACTTCATAGAAACATAGAATGTGACAGCATTCGGCCCAATTTTCTAAATACTTTCATTAGTCTCTTATATGTAGGATAGGCTTTTGCCTATTCCACACATGCTTAACCCCTTAAGGACACATGACATGTCATGATTCCCTTTTATTGCAGAAGTTTGGTCCTTAAGGGGTTAAACACCCTCACTGTGTTAACATCTGCCACATTAGCTGGAAGGCTATTCCATGTGTCCACAAAATAATATTTCCTGATATAATTTTTAAAATTTTGTCCCTCTAATTTAAGACTATGTCCTGCTGTTGTGGTAGTTTTCTCCTTTTAAACCCTTAACGTTGTGTTCTATGCCGTCCCCATTATAATGGCATA